ATTCTTCCATTTTTGTGATTTTCTTTTAGGTTTTTCCTGGAATCTTTTTCATGTCAGAGAATATAGTCCGACAGAATAGAACAAGTTATCTTGTTTTTTAAATTTTATTCAAAACATCAAAGCACCTCATAAAATCTCCCCCCCCCCCTCCCTCCCCCCGTCAAAAAAATAAAATAATTATCTCCTTTGGGTAATTACCTCCAGGTTGAAGACCCCTGACCTATACATTAAAATACCATCATGTGGTGTTATAAAAAATGACAAGTGAATTTTACATAATATCATGTCGCGACCTACAAATGTCATAGAATATCCCCAAACCCACAAATACTATAAAGAACTCATAGTAAAACTTTATGTAACAACTCGTGACTAAAGGTTTATGAGAAAATTACACATAAAGTCATTTAGTCGAATATACACAAGCATTTTTTAAAATCTACAACGAGTTTAGGAAATTCAGAAGAGGTGAAATACACTTTCAGACGTGCTACAAAATTTCCTATGAGCTTAAGAGATTCAGAAACTCGTTATTGCAGTATTAGCTTAGAAAATTCAGAAAAAGGCGAAAAGGACTTTCAGATGATCTCCAAAGTTCACAATAAGCTTTAAAATTCAGAAAGATCAAAATGCACTCTCAGACGTCTCCAAAATTCATAAAGATATTAGAAAATTCAAAAAAGGCCAAATGCACTTTCGGACGATTTCGAAAATTCACAAAGAGTTTGGAAAATTCAGAAAAGGCGAAATGCTCTTGCACACTTTTTTGAAAATTTGCTATGATCTTAAATCAATTCAGAAGAGGGGAAATGCACTTACAGACCATCTCGAAAATTAGAAAAGAGTTTTGAAATTCAGACAACTCGTTATGGCAGTATTATCTTAAAAAATTCAGAAAGAGCGAAATGCATTTTGGAAAGTTTTCGAAAATTCACAAAGAGTTTAGACAATTCAAAAGTGATAAATTCAATTTCAAGCGATCTCGAAAAAAATAGCTTAGAAAATTCAGAAAAGGCGAAATGCACTTTCAATCGGACTCCAAAATTCCCTATGACCTTAGGAAATTCAGAAAAGGCGAAATGAGTCTTGTCTGCATTCTTCAATCCAATCTGAAGAAAAAGTAAGACGTAAAACTCCGCTACATATCTAAAATCAGAACAGCACATTAATATGATAGAGCAACAGAAATCAAATGACAATCTAATGACATTTAGTTAGTACTTCACAACACTTAACAATTCTATCAAAATGTACTGAAACACAACTATAGGAGGAATATCAAGGAAATATTGTCAGAGTATATTGCGAAAATATTGTCTAAACTATTTAACATATTAAAACCCAAACGAAATATCAACAACAAAAGGTGCTCTCACATCATAGTGATCACCAGGTGCGAATAGGAATAGCGACCATAAGTTTCGAACAAAACTCTCATGCAACTGAGTTGTTAGTTGCGTTCGGAACTCATGGCCACTTTCATTATTCGTAACCATATACATCTGGCAATCGCTATAGCGCAAGGACACCTTAAAATAGATATCATCAAGTACTCCTACAGAAATAAAGTATTAAAAAGACCTTATCTTGCTGAAATCAATCTCAATATGTCCTAAAGTCCTTGAAAATCGGTGTTGAAATATGAATAAATTATGTAATATATTAATAGTTGAATAAGAGATATTGCTGTTACGTGGTTATCATGACGGAAATACAGTCTTCATAAATTTGATGTACAAAGCCATGTTTTTATTTGACAATGAAATATATAAGTTATATGCAAACTGACACAAACTTCGGAAGTCTTATTTGAATAATTAGCAATGTAAATTTAGCAATGAATGATGACGGCGCAGTGTTACTGACAGGTCCGTGTCTATTACCGGCATATATCGCCTTACTTATTTCAATATCAGTCGTGAGTACTTTAGAAAAGTCGAATATTTGACCTCATGCTCCTCGTCTGTGACTTTGGTTACTCGACACAAAAATTATGTTACAAGCAAGTTAGACCCCCCACCCCCTCGACCGACAAAACAAGTTGTCCTAGTGAAGTTTTTATATCCAAAACAGATGTCCAAACAACCAACTCCTTGCTTCTCCTGTGCAACATACATAAAGACAATGCCGATCGCAAAGAGCCTCTGTGTCGATATCCAAAATCATCGTTAAATGATCGATGTAGGACACCAAATGGACAGCAGAGGACAATCCTCATCAACGAAACTCGCTTTGCAGCTTATTCTTTAACACCCATATTGGTTTTATTTTTCTTCTGTTTCCTTTCGACAATCAAACAAGTTAACTGTTGTACGATATTTCTGGAAAATAATCACATCGATTATAGCGATATCCGAACCTCGCGTATTCACCCTGGTACGATATGAGAAATGGCAGAACATCAATCAATGGAAAACTACATGACCTCATGAGAAAGGTAAGCTTGCAGATCTGTATGGCAGGATAAAATCCGCTGTATTCCTAAATGCATTTTAATGAATAATTTTAAGAATAGTGTGAGGTCGAAACTCCAATAGAAACTCTCTGTACACTTCCTTGATTGGTCTTATGTAATAAATAATATCTATATCTTGTTTAAAAACCTACCGTTGTCATCATAAAACCCGAAATTTATAGTCTTGTCACCGTGTATCATCTTTTATTACCAAAAACCTTCTTTTATTAAAATGATGACATAACAAGCCGAGCTAAACAATTTATAGTTAAAGGCACACGATCATTTTAATGTCACTGAGCCAAGCTACAAGCTAGTTGGTATGCTCTCCGTTCATTCTGGCAACAAAAAACTGTCATTGTACCAAACAATCTTCAAGCTAGAGGTACACGCCAGTTTGGTATGTGTTAATCTAAATTTGACCACATATACATGATTGTCATTGTACCAAACAATCTACAAGTTTGGTATGCTCTCATTGACCACAAAAACCTCTTTTTTCCAATTTACTAGCTAGTTTGATGCTCTAGTTTCATTTTAACCTAAAAGCCGCCATTATACCAAGCAATCTGCTGGCTAGTTGGACGGGCTAGTTTGCTATGCTCTAATCTCATTTTGATCACAGAAACCAGTAAGCGAGATACGTCAGTTATAATATACCAAATAATATGAAGAACCGAACTTTTGAAATTTTGGACTATCCTCCTTTAACAGTCTTTAACCTTCAGTAATACATTGTGTAAAATACAGACAGTGGTGGAGCCAGTTGGGGTAGGAGGAAGGGGGGATCTGACCCTGGGAAAAGGATTTTTAATCCCTTTCGCCATAATAGAAATTTAAAAATATGATTTATATACGTTTTTGCCCAAAATTATGTATCAGAATGTACCAAATCAATTTTATTCAAAATGTTCTTGTAAGAGAGTTCTCTCAGACGCTCCATGCAAGGTTTAAATCTATGGCGCTTCCACAGCGCTATGGCATTTTGAATTTCACCCTCGACAGTTATCCCCCCATTAAGTCAGTCTGTTCCTTATTTGTACCCCAAGTTTCGATAGGTTGGCGCCACCACTGAATACAGAGCGCTTATACAGTTATTTAGGTTACAAAAGATTTAAAGTTAACAGTAAGAAATGTCGGTATTAAACATTTTTATTTTGAAATCGTCTACATGAATCATTCCGTCACATGTCCTGGACAGAAATTATATAAAAATTACATAAAAAATTTATTATAAAAGCCTAGAAATTCTACCTGTTGTTCACACTCACTTGTTGGTTTTAGAGAAGACAAGCTACTGTTTCCAGGTGGAATTGTCCTTTCTCTTATAGTGCTGTTCATATCTACATTCAAACACATGTAAGTTCTTACTTTCACTTTCTTTTTTATTTGTTTCGAAGATTTGCTGGAAAGATTGGCGTAATTACTCGGTTCTTTTATTTCAGAAAATGTATGAAGCTAGATACAATTGCGATGTTTTATTTAGAATTAACTTATAATTAGCTAAAACTTAAATTAAATTCTTACGGAAAGAAATATATTCTAGAATCTTAAAACTTTTTCATTTGCCGAAGACTTTTTTTTTGGTCACTAATTATCCATACTTGAAGAACTGAATGTTTTAAAGTATGAAACTTAATCTCTATTTAATATACCCAGGTCTGACGGTCCACGGTTGTTTGTAAACCTTATAACTTGGTAAAATTGCTCAACCCCAACGAAAAAAACCCTCGAAAATTTTAAAATATTAAATATGAATTGAAGCCCTTAAAAATTTAAAACGCGTTCAATTTTTAGCTCGTTAACACTCTTGAAAGCACAATTTTTAATGGATTTTTTTTATTTATTTATGATTTATATCATATTTCTTTATTTTTCAGAATGCAGACCTCACACGTTATCCTTGCCGTAGTGGCAGCACTATGCCTAGTGGTTGTAAACGATGCTTATGCCATTCCCCAAATGCCAGCTGGTTTTAATTATATGCAATATGTTCCCGCCGAGTACCAACAATATGTGAAAGCGTATATGGGTCAAGGTGGTGCAGGTGCAGCCGCTGGAGGAATGCCTAGTATCCCTAATTTTATGGGCGCTGGTGGAGCTGGAGGAATTCCTGGTATGGGTAACTTTATGGGCGGTGGAGCTGGTGGCGCCAATTTCGCCAATATGTTCGGCAGCTGGTAAAAAGTAAGTATGTTTTTTAGAATTTACCATTATATATCATTAGATACAGAATTAAATAACCGAACACAATTTTATGGTATAGTTTTAATGAACACAACGTTTAAACAATCAACATAGTAATTTTTCACCTGATTATGACAGTGCAGATCGGTGAAACGTTGTGTCCAATAAAATTAAGGAGTAGTAAACCATTGTGACCACTGCCCTTAAATGTCGCTTAAGAATTATCATTGCGTACAATGACAGCAGTCAGTTTGCACTTCCAAACACCCGCTCTGTATGCAATTGTTCCCTTTTAAAATTGACTCAGTTTCCCCACTTTTTGTCACCTATCCTGAAGACTCGCCAAGTTTTAAACCATAGGGACGTTTTAAGTGACAAACCCAGAAAAGTAGTTTGAACCCCCACCAATTGCACACTCACTTTATTTCTAACAATATAAAATATGAATTGATATTGAAATGAATTATTGACCAAAATATCTCTCAGATATTCTATTTTTTCAAAACATTTCTTGAGAGAAAAAACTTTCAAATTTCAAACGCTCTATGGGAGGCTTACCCTGCTGCATTTTGAATCTTGACAAATACTAAAAAACGTTACAATAAATCAACCCGTTCAGTAGACAAACCTATTCACTCGCTACAAAACGTTACAACAAATCCATCCGTTTAATAGACAAACGCTACAAAACGTTACAACAAATCCATCCGTTTAATAGACAAACGCTACAAAACGTTACAACAAATCCATCCGTTTAATAGACAAACGCTACAAAACGTTACAACAAATCCATCCGTTTAATAGGTAAACGCTACAAAACGTTACAACAAATCCATCCGTTTAGTAGTCAAACGCATACAAACGCTGCAAAATGTTACAACAGGTCCACCCGTTCAGTTGACAAACCCATAAATAAGATTTCATGTTGCTGGGTTAAAGAACGCATTAATGATTTCATTTATATAGAATATGTTTTTCTCTTTGCAGGATTGACAAGAACCTGATAAACCCGATTTAGAATACAGAATTAGTCCTTTACGTTTTTCAAATTTCAACGAGCCGCTTGTAAAATATTCAGCTTTTAAAATTGTTAGCATTCTCTCCGGTCCGATGATAGCAACGCTTTACAATGATGTACATCTGATGTTTGTACGTCGTTGTAGCTTTTAGAGCAAAGCCAACAATAGTAATAAAGTTTTTGTACGTCTTTTACAATCAGTTTTGTTTTTAATTCTTTAATCACCCAACTATTGTTGGTAGTTTCAATCTAAACAGTCTATAGTCCAATTCTGATTCCCTAAAACAGCTGATAGTCCCCTTCTGATTGACGTAAACAGCTGATAGTCTCATTCTGATTGGCTTAAACAGCTGATAGTTCAATTCTGATTCCCTAAAACAGTTGATAGTCCCCTTCTGATTGACGTAAACAGCTGAAGGCCCTATTCTGATAGATTTAAACAGCTGATAGTCCCATTCTGATTGGCTTAAACAGCTGATAGTCCCATTCTGATAGACTTAAACAGCTGATAGTCCCATTCTGATAGACTTAAACAGCTGATAGTCCCATTCTGATTGACGTAAACAGCTGATATTCTCATTCTGATTGACGTAAACAGCTGATATTCTCATTCTGATTCCCCTAAACAGCTGATAGTCTCATTCTGATTCCCTTAAACAGCTGATAGTCCCATTCTGATTCCCTTAAACAGCTGATAGTCTGATAGTCCCATTCTGATTCCCTTAAACAGCCGATAGTCCCATTCTGATTCCCTTAAACAAACAGTCGATAGTCGCACTCTGATTCCCTTAAACAAACAGTCGATAGTCGCACTCTGATGTCTTGAAACACTCAATACTCCCATTTTGATTCCCTTAAACAGTCGACAATCCCATCCCGATTTCCTTAAATAGCTGATAGTCCCAGTTTGATTCCCTTAAATAACTGATAGTCCCATTCCGATTCCCTTAAACAGCTGATAGTCTCATTCTAGTTACAGACAACTGTACCAATCTCCTATATAGTTTGACAGAAAAGTTGGGTATGGCCAAGACCTATTCATAGAAAACTGTCAATGTACTAAACAATATTGGACACAGTGGTCTGGTTTTCTTTAGTCCTTTTCTGATTACAAAATACCATCAGTGTACCAATAACAATGAACCATAACCATTTAGGCCTACTAACGAACCGTAAAACGGAAACCGTAACCAAAAAACAACATATTGGCGAATTGGTAGCAGCTAATGTATTTGTACATATTACATAATGAAAAGTGGTATCAGGTGTCAAGAAGAGTAAGCATACCCTGCCTGGCACCACCCGTCATAGCTGCACAACAAACACTACAAATAGAAACATGCCAACAAAATAGGGTTCATCCTTGGGTGAATACATACATTCACACCTAGTTCCATCAAGAAATGTGCCTTCTAGAGTGTTTACGTGCTTAAAATTGAACGCATCCTCAAGAACAAAGGCAATAACTCATACTAAATATTTTTCGATTTTTCTGATTTTCGATAGGGTTTAACCTTGGTTGATAACAAACACTCACACCAAGTTTCGTCAAATCTGTCAAGAATTGAACCTTCTTGAGTGTTTACAAGCTGAATTGATTACATACTACGTTTCGAAACACATACAGACATCTCTTTGGAGTAAAACCATTTAACTTGTATGTGTTTCGAAACGTAGTTTGTAATAAAGTCAGAAGTAGTATATCTGTATATCTAATGTTTTGATGTAAATAATACGTGAAAATATTAAAAAAATATGCTGTTTACTATTATGTATCTACTTGATCAACCTATTTTTAAGAGGTTTAGGAAAATGACAGAGTTTACTAAATGCGCAGTAAGCAATAAAAAACATGACTGTAAAAGGTTTACTTAAACGTATTGATACTTTTGTCGAGGGACACATATATCTAGATTTTGGTTTTAGTTTTTGTTATCTTAAGCCCTAAATTTACCGACCAAGTTAAAACACTAGATAACAGTGAAACTGTGCGGCGGGTTCAGTAGAAAGACCCATAAAACAATTAATAACGTTACAGCTAGCAACATAGCCTGTAGTCCCATTCTACACAGTCTGTAGTCCCATTCTACACAGCCTGTAGTCCCATTCTACACAGCCTGTAGTCCCATTCTACACAGCCTGTAGTCCCATTTTACACAGCCTGTAGTCCCATTCTACACAGCCTGTAGTCCCATTCTACACAGCCTGTAGTCCCATTCTACACAGCCTGTAGTCCCATTCTACATAGCCTGTAGTCCCATTCTACACAGCCTGTAATCCCATTCTACATAGCCTGTAGTCGCATTCTACACAGCCTGTAGTCCCATTCTACACAGCCTGTAGTCCCATTCTACACAGCCTGTAGTCCCATTCTACACAGCCTGTAGTCCCATTCTACACAGCCTGTAGTCCCATTCTACACAGTCTGTAGTCCCATTCTACACAGTCTGTAATCCCATTCTACACAGCCTGCAATCCCATTCTACACAGCCCGTAGCCCCATTCTACACAGCCTGTAGTCCCATTCTACACAGCCTGTAGTCCCATTCTACACAGTCTGTAGTCCCATTTTACACAGCCTGTAGTCCCATTCTACACAGCCTGTAGTCCCATTCTACACGGCCAGTAGTCCCATTCTACACAGCCTGTAGTCCCATTCTACACAGTCAAAATACCCATTCCTAAAAGCTATTGTTTTTACTAGGTCCATGATTAGGAACAAATTCAGACATATTTCACTTCCTTTGATGTCCCCCTTGATTAGTTTGTTTCGTAGTCTTTTACATTTTGAAATTTCTCATTAACAGTCTTCAACCTCTTGAATTAGATTGATGTGAACTACAGAACATTACTATCACGGTCAGGTGGTTCATCAGGTCATAAAACAAGTAAATTTTACATCAGTAAAATGTCGGCATAAAAAATGTGTCTTTTCAAATCGTCTACATGAATCATTCCGTCACATGATCTCCTGGACAGAAATTATATAAAAATTACATAAAAAATTTATTATAAAAGCCCAGAAATTCATCCAACAATTCAGAAACTTTTGTTGATTTTAACGAAGACAAGCTACAGTTGGATTTTTTTTGTGCTCAAAGACAAGTAAGTTTTTCCTTTGGCTTAACTTTTCGTTTTAGTTTACTTTAAGTGCTACTGTATTTCGTTTGTCTTTACTTTAGCTTTATTTTCGTTTTCATAATATTTTACGATTTTATCAAAATTTCGGAAACCGTAAGATTTTATTTTAATTCTTTCGAGTTTTTTTGTGTAATTGATGCAACAATTTTGGATAAAATTTTGTTTATATAACCACAGTTACTTGGTGTTATATAAATATATACAAAGTACCTATAGAGTCACCTCCAAATGATACGTCAATATTCCGACCTGAATTCTTTTCAAACGAAATTTAAAATGGGGCGAAACAATACGTGTTCTAAAATACCGAAGGTAGAGAGATTGTTGAAATTCAAAAATCCATTGATCTATTTATTTATCTAATATTAGAAACAAAATATTTTCACTATTAAAATATTGGTCAATGCATCAATGGTAGAGCAATATAGAAATACCACTATTAAAATAGTACTCAATACATCAATTGTAGAGCAATATAGAAATACCACTTTTAAAATAGTACTCAATACACCAATTGTAGAGAGTTATAGAAATACTACTGTTAAAATAGTGCTAAATACATCAATTGTAGAGTGATATAGAAATACCACTGTTAAAATAGTGCTCAATACATCAATTGTAGAGCAATATAGAAATACCACAATTAAAATACTGCTCAATACATCAATTGTAGAGCGATATAGAAATACCACTGTTAAAATAGTGCTCAATACACCAATTGTAGAGCGATATAGAAATACCACTGTTAAAATAGTGCTCAATACATCAATTGTAAAGCTATATAGAAATACCACTGTTAAAATAGTGCTCAATACATCTATTGTAGAGCGATATAGAAATACCACTGTTAAAATAGTTCTCAATACATCAATTGTAGAGCGATATAGCAATGCAGCTGTTAAAATAGTGCTCAATACATCAATTGTAGAGCAATATAGAAATACCACTGTTAAAATAGTGCTCAATACATCAATTGTAGAGTGATATAGAAATACCACTGTTAAAATAGTGCTCAATACATCAATTGTAGAGCGATATAGAAATACCACTATTAAAATAGTGCTCAATACATCAATTGTAGAGTGATATAGAAATACCACTGTTAAAATAGTGCTCAATACATCAATTGTAGGGCGATATAGAAATACCACTGTTAAAATAGTGCTCAATACATCAATTGTAGAGTGATATAGAAATACCAC